CCGCTTGCCGGTGTGTTGTGTTTTCTTGCACTTCTCCTCTCCTCCCTGGCGTTTCCCTCCCTCCCTCCCCTTTTGCTTGTCCGTCTCATCTGGCGATGCCCGTATATCCTCTCGTCTGCTCTTACCGTCCTTGTCTTCCCTAACTGCACCCTTCTTTGCTTCCTTTCGCTATGAGAGCCCCCCGTTGCGTCTGCTGTCGTTTTCTCTCTCGCTCTTCCTGCGTCTCCCCTTTGTCACTTTCTTGTCCTTTCTCTCTTTTCCCTCTTCCTCTGATTCCCTTTTCTTCTCCTCTGCCCCTCTTCTCACCCGCCCCTCACCTCCCCATCCCCTCCCCTCCTCCTCCCCTCGCCGTCCTCCCTCCCGGCGGGGGCGCCCGCTCCCCCCATCCCTCCCCGTCTTAGGTTACCGTCCTATCCCTCTATCGCCGCGCCCGCCTCGTTGCCGCCCGCCCGCCGCCACCGGGGCCTCTCCGTTGTTCTCCCCTCCGTCCTCACTTGGCTCTTCCGCGCCCCCCTCGGTCCGTTGGCGGCCCTCTTTTCCCCCCCCTTCTCGTTCCCCCTCTTGGTTGTTTGGTGTTGTTCCCCGCCGCTCCCCCTTGGTGTTCGCGGCCTCCGTCCCTCTTGTCCGCCTGTGTCGTGTGTTTGGTGTGCCCGGCTTTTGTCTTCCACCTTCCGCCTTCCTCGGCCTTCCCTATCCCGTCCTCTTTCTCTCTCTCTCTCTATCTCCTCCCCCTATGTTCTCCTCCCCCAGGTTTGCAGTATTATCTGTATTGGTTCACTGTGTGTTGTGTTTCTGTAATGTGAAGGTGTAACTCAAGGCTTGTATGCTGCTGCACTTTCTCTGCCGACATAAACTACGAAGAACACTCGAGCACTCTGAGGTACATTTATAAACATGTGCTCTCTCCCTTCTCTCTTTCACCTCAATGCTCTTCCAGTCTAGAAACTACTCCTGAGAAGATGTTAGAGCTCTCTCTCTGCTCTGCAAATAGTCTGAACTTCCCTGTTATAGCTTCTTTCTCTACCCCTTAATGAGAGTCCAGGGATTTCGCGGAATAATTGCTCATAATAGTCAGACACCTTTTCAGGACACTACCTCACCGTCACTCATAATGATCAGACACCTTTTTCAGGACAGTCCTCACGCTTTGCTCATAAATGACCAGACACCTTTTCAGGACACTGCCGGTCACCTTTGTCTCATAATAATCAGGACACCTTTCAGAAACACTACCTCACGTCACTCATATAAATCACAGGACAGCCTTTCAGGACACGTACATTGCTCTACCTCGGAATAATCAGGACACCATTTCAGGACACGTACAGTCGCTCGAGCCTCAGAATAATCAGGACAACCATTTCAGGACACTACATCGCTCTACCTCGAATAATCAGGACACCATTTCAGGACATCTACATCGCTCTACTCAGGATAATCAGGATACTACGCTGTAATAATATTATACTCTGACTCTTTTGTCGTGTAAATAGCAGGTACGCGGACGCGGCGCAAGCAGATCGTCTGTGCTGCAGTTGTCATGAAGACCCAAATGCAAAAGTATGTACCTACGTAATATGACTAAGAAACTGAAGTGAAAGCTGAAATTCAAATGTACGAGTGGTAATGCTGGAAAACTTGTGTCTAGTAACACTTGAGGGACCAGCTAAGTGTTTAGCGTATTGGACTTCCAGTCGCTACGCCCGAGTGGGACGTTCTGACAGAGTTTCTCTCTGCTGTTAGTACAGCGGAGCCCCCAAAATAAGGACACCTCACTAATATGGACACTTTCTTCTGTCCCATTGGTGTCTGTATTAGAGGGGTTCCTGTGTATCTTATAAAGGGTTATACACGGAGCTCTTTGGATCCATACATTATCCATACCTTGTCAGAACCATTCATACAAACCCGTGCATTGAGACTCCGTCCACTTAGTTCTCCATTCACATCGCACACTCCATCAATTCAGTGAGAGAAATGTGCATGTGTGTGTGTGTGTGTGTGTGTGTGGGGCTAGCATTGTACCCGAGTGTCTGTAGTGGCTCCATGCACCTGTGTATGTGGTATCCAGTCACAATGGACGTCGAGACAACGGACGGCAGTTAGCACATCTGCTCGCCTACAGCCTGAACATTGCCATCGTGTGTTTGTAGCCTGAGATTGCTCTGTCGCTTTGGGAGATTTTGATTTTTAACGTGTCGGAGCACAACAACTCCATTTACCTCTTTTAAAGGCCACTCCAAATAAAGGCCACCTCTCTGTAAAGGACACAGTACAGTGCAACCTCTTTAAAAGACACTCCAAATAAGGACACCTCTCTGTAAAATACACTTGCCGGTGCTAGTATTTTCTCTCTCTACTGTAGTTCTGCCCCATATACTAGTGTATTACACTACTTCCTAATAAGGGACGCCTCTGAATAAAGGATGCTCCAAAACCACTGCTTCCTTCCCTCCCTTCTCACCTCCTTACTCCCTCCCCCATCTCCTTCCCCCCTCCTCACTCTCTCCCCCATCTCCTTCCTCCCTTCTCCCCTCCTCACTCTCTCCCCCATCTCCTTCCTCCCTTCTCCCCTCCTTACTCCCTCCCCCATCTCCTTCCCTCCCTCCTCACTCCCTCTCCCATCTGCAGTTGATCAGACAGCTAAAAGAGGAAGTCAAGAAACTGCACTTTCTCATCAAAGCCGAAGGCTTGGAAGCCAAAGTCGCATCATTCGGTATACAACACACATCTAACACCTGTAGTTCATAGAAACCGCCACTGTTATGAACAGTCTTTGCTGTGTATATATAAGTCTAGCATTGTACGTGTACATTGTGAACACTGTATGTATGTACATATATGGACCGCTATGAACAGTCTTTGCTGTGTATAAGTCTAGCATTGTACTGAACACTGTAATGTATGTACATATGGACCGCTATGAAAAGTCTTTGATGTGTATGTATAGGTCGATCACTGTACGTGTACATTGTAATGTGTGGTAGTTGTGTCATTGGTCATGTGTGTGTGTGTGTGAAGACACTATAGTAACTATGTACGTAGCCTTTGGTTACTTTGTTACTGTTATTGTATGGGTGTTGTGGGCACTGGTGGCTTCAGTTTTGCCCACTGGGAAATGAGGTGGTGGCCCACGCACATGTAACAATAGACCATGTGATGCCAAGAGAAAACGTAACGCAGCAAATTGATCCGGTTTTCCCCTCGTCTTCTCCTAAGTTCCTCTTTATGCCTTCCCCTCTACTTCACTTCCATGTTCTCCCCCTCTCCCGGTCCTATATACGTATTCCTCCATTTCCTACCTCCCTCGCCCCGCCCCATGTCATAATAATTATTATACTGTACTGTACAATGCCACAGTTCTCCTTTGTAGCTGGCCATTCACTTGCACTATCTTCCTCTTCCTCTCCCCAGACCTACACTATGTACCTACTGGAGGAGGGGGAGCACCTGACACTCCCGGAACACTCAAAGCCGTCGAAAAACTCAAGGTTCATATTTTTCCAACCAAATTAATATCTTATTGAACTTCAATGGTCAGCATCATCTTACAAAATTGGGATGCTCCAGGCTCTCGAAAAGGGTGCATTTCGTGCACACATGAAATGTTTTAGCCCCCCGTTTCCCCCTATAAAGGTCCCTTGTGCAACCCTAACCCAGCCCTCTTTGTATACGTATGCACATGTAGTATAATGAAAACAGCAACAAGGCTTCGAGGCAATGGAAAAGCAAACAATTTTCGAGGAAAAAAGAGCTGCCCTGGGTGGGATTCGAACCCACAACACTCAGCAGTCTAGGAAGAGCGAGCGCTCTACCCACTGAGTTACCAGGCCAACTCAGCAGGGGCTCAAATCATGTGCGAAATTGCGTGTGTGTGTGTGTGTGTGTGTGTGGATATAGGAAGCGGAGAGGCTGATGGCTGAACTCAACATGACGTGGGAGGAAAAGTTGAAGAAAACGGAAGCCATTCAGAAAGAGAGGTAGACTAACCCCCCACACACACTTACATGTCACCATTGCTTTCTTCTTTATCTTCTTTTGTACTTTCTCCCGGTATCTTTCCTCTTCTCTCTTCTTTTTGTTCCCTCCCCTCTCCCCTCCTCCTCCCCCCTCTCCCCTCCTCCTCCCCCCTCCCCCCTCACCCATCTCGCTGTATGAAACAGGGAGGAGGCTCTGGCAGAAATGGGTATAGCTCTCCAGGACCAAGAGGGAAGGGCGGTTGGAGTCATGCAACCCAAAAAGGTCCCGTTACACACACACTCACTCAGTCCATTGTGTGATGAAATTACTTGTGTAAGGGAGGATAAATTTGTCCCTGTGCCCTCAGAAAATCCTAGCATGTGAGTCAATGTGAGGAGAACTATCAGTCTTGTCTTGATGCAGACTCCCCAAGAAGGTCCCATTACACACACCCTCCTCCTCAGTCTATATTGCAAAGGGAAAGGTGTGTATATTTCCCCCCATAAAAACCCTGCATACAATGAGTCAATGTGAAGAGGCAATCTGAAACTATCAGTCTTGTCTTGATGCAGACTCCCCATCTGGTGAACTTGAACGAAGATCCTCTCATGTCAGAATGTCTCCTGTACTACATCAAGGACGGCACCACCAAGTCAGTAGAAACATTACACCTTGCCTGCAAACATGTCCTTCGTCAGACGAAATGACCACATGCATGCTTCCCATATAGTGCCCTACACTTAGACCTGGAGAATTGTATTTGTACTTATTGGCCCACACTACAGTGGAACCTCTGTATAAAGGACACATAGGGGACACGAACAATGTCCTCTCTACTGAGGTGTCCTTTATTCAGAGGTGAAATAAGTATATATTAGCACCGGATCGAAACAAGTGTCCTTTATAGAGAGGTGTCCTTTATTCAGAGTGTCCTTTGCAAGAGGTTGCTTTAAGCGAGTATAATAATATGTATATTTTCAGCTATGTACATTGAAAGACCTATAATGCTACAGTACTGTACAGTGTGAGTGTGATCTACATACTGTACATACGTCAATCATACAGGGCTGGAAGTGGAGGTGACATTCAATTGAACGGAGAGTTCATTCTTGAAAAACACTGCACCTTCGTCAATGGGAATGGTATGATGACATAGTATATTATACATGGCATGATTACACCCCACAGTCTTTTAGTCACTCTCGTTGAGTTACTAAGGCACATTATCGCGAATAGTCACGCTACACGCTCAACGTGATGCACATGACATTAGAAAATCGACCACTAGTGGCCCAAAGTCGCTCGGTCGCTAGTGGCCCAAAGTCGCTCGGTCGCCAGTGGCCCAAAGTCACTTGGTCGCTAGTGGCCCAAAGTCACTCGGTCGCTAGTGGCCCAAAGTCACTCGGTCACTAGTGGCCCAAAGTCGCTCGGTCGCTAGTGGCCCAAAGTCACTCGGTCACGTCACTCGGTTGCTAGTGGCCCAAAGTCACTTGGTCGCTAGTGGCCCAAAGTCACTCGGTCGCTAATGGCCCAAAGTCATTCGGTCGCGTCACTCGGTTGCTAGTGGCCCAAAGTCACTCAGGCTTTCCTGTTGCCTCAGCTGGTCTGTGTACACAGACACCTCGTTTCTTGTTTACTTCTCGTCAACAAACAACAATCTCTTTCACTCGTCGTGTACTATATACTACGTGTATGCAGTTTCAGTTTCAGTTCTCTGTCATGATGCAGGTGTGGTGAGCATAGTCCCAAACCCAGACAGCCAGACCTTCGTAAACGGGAGACTCATAACCGAGCCCGAGGAACTGCGAACTGGATCGCGAATCATCCTTGGGAACAACCATGTCTTCAGATTCACCAACCCAGAACAAGGTGAGGGAGGGACACCAGCCACTTTGTGTGTATATTTCAACCATATACCAGGGAAACTTTTGCAGGAGGACACCCTCTCTCACCTCTCTCTCTCTCACAAACGCATCCCTTCAAAACCTGATGTCTTGAGAATCAAACATCAAGCACACAGTATAGATAATACCCCCTTGGTAGGTAATGTTTAAACAACAACAGACATTTTGTTGTTTCTATAAACAGCAAACAGGCATTTTTAACTTTCGTAGAGGGCTCGCCCCTTTCACAGAGTGTATGTTGGCAATTCGCTGATGACTTGCTCCCACTACGTAAATGGTCCCGGCTGTCAATAAGACTTTTTCGCACTGTAACAGCCATGAATTAAAAACCTATTATTATTTGTTTCTCTCCCAACAGCTCGAGCAATCCGTGCTGTCTCCCCGACGGCCTTTGAAAACCCTCGCTCGATGACCCCCATGGGGACCCACTGCGACAGCCCTCTTCATCGAGGCAATGGTGGGTCAGGCTCACTCGGTGGGGGGTCTCCCGCCAGTTTCCTTGACAACATGGGCGTGGTAGACTGGTCATTTGCCCAGAATGAGCTGCTGAAGAAGACGGGGAGGAACATATCCACCAGACAGGAATATGAGGAAAAGTACGCGCAACTTTATCCTCTTTCCAACCTTCCTTGCATGAAGCAGTTATGTAGAAGACTGTTTTTCGTGCACTCCGGTGCTGTTAGATGGATCAAGCGTTGTAAGGGGGTTAATTTCTTTTGTTCTATCTTTAATAGCATTTCTACCCTTATTTACTGCCACATTCTTTAACGTGGAGTGATGACCACTCTCACTTCTTTTGAGCTCTAGTTCAGTTCAGGGGAGAAATTTCACCCTTTTGTCCCACCCCCAAAACTCTCTCCAAGTTTCATTATCACTTGTCTCCTTATGTCAGGATCATAGAGCTGGAGAGGAAGCTGGAGGAGGACAGGGCAGAGGCAGAGGGGAGACTGGAGGCCCAGAGAATGGAGTACGAGAACAGATTGGGAGAGCTGGAGGTGGAGCTGGAGAGGAAGAAGAAAGAGGTGGGAGTGAAGAGGATGAGAATAGTTCCCAGTTGCATAGTTGTGGAGACCTGGGCGTATATCCAATGACGCTTCACGCTTCTTTTGCTAATGCCAACACACGCCTCTTGCACAATTCCTCACCACTTGAACTTCCCGATCGAAATGGCGATGCACGCCCGCATGCGCCTCCCGTTTTAGTCACCTTGCCCCACGCATGCGCCTCTTCTTTTATTCACCCTTCCCCTGCGCATGCGCCTCCCGTTTTAGTCACCTTCCCCTGCGCATGCGCCTCCTGTTTTATTCACCCTCCCACTGCGCATGCGCCTCCCGTTTTAGTCACCTTCCACTACGCATGCGCCTCCCGTTTTAGTCACCTTCCCCCGCGCATGCGCCTCTTGTTTTATTCACCCTTCCACTGCGCATGCGCCTCCCGTTTTAGTCACCTTTCCCCGCGCATGCGCCTCTTGTTTTGTTCACCCTCCCCCTGCGCATGCGCCTCCTATTTTATTCACCCTTCCCCTGCACATGCGCCTCCTGTTTTATTCACCTTCCACTGCGCATGCGCCTCCCGTTTTAGTCACCTTTCCCCGCGCATGCGCCTCTTGTTTTATTCACCCTCCCCCTGCGCATGCGCCTCTTGTTTTATTCACCCATCCTTCCCCTGTGCATGCACCTCTTGTTTTATTCACCCATCCTTCCCCCCGCATGCTCCAATTCACCATTACCCTTGTGTAGCATTTTTAGTACATTTTCCCTCAGAAGAAAAGTTCAGTAAAAGTGGTGGTTTGTTTTGTTGCAGGAGGAGCTGGTGGTTCTGGAGGAGAAGGAAGAGAGGTAAACTCGATTCTCTTGTCCACGCGTTGGCCACTAACTCTTTCCTTCTTCCCGTCTGTCTGTATGGTGCAGGATTACAGAGCTGGAGCACCAGCTGGTCCAGAAGGCAGAGGATCAGCAGAGGATCGAGAACCAGAAGAGGGTAAGTGACTACTACACACAAGTTCCACCGCTCCTTACCTTTTGAACTCCTAACAATGTTTCCGTTTTTACTATGTTGTAGATTAAGGCTAGGTTCACAATTAGGTTCAAACAATTAACATTTACCCTGACAAAAACCCACTATAATTGTACAATGTTTACACGTAACGTATTGCTTGTTGTCTCCACTAGAAATATGAGGAGAAACTGGAGGAGCTGGAGAAAGCCATGGTTCAAAGGTCGGCAAGAGAAGAGGATTCCCTCGTCTCTCAGAGGATGGAGTACGAGAAGATGCTGAGTCAGCAGCGAGGGCTCTACGGGGAGAAGATGAGTGAACTGGAGAAACTGGACTCCCAGAGAAAGGTGAGACCCGTCGTCTACAGTGACAAGAGCAGGGCGGGGCTTACATACTTAACCCTTAGCAAGCCACAGGCCACGGGCATATATATACGTATGCCCAGAGCCTCCATAAGAATAATATATGGCTATAATACTAGGCGTTAATATGTTTTACATCAATTCTGCTTATTTAAGGAGATACCCATGGCGTCCAAATGGTTTAATGTGCTCTAGTGATTCACTCATTGCATATGTTTTTGGCGGCATTGCAAACTATGGAACTATGGGCCGCAATTACAGAGCAATAGGTACGAAACTCCTTTTTAGTACATAATGTCTGAAATTATTTTATGTACAAACGCAGCGACGACGTGAGAAACTCATTTGAGTTTGGTGGTTTAGCTGTCACACTTGAATTCTCCATTATTACAAAATGACATAGCCTCTCTCAGTCTCAGTGAGTGTGTTTGTTTTCAGGAGTATGAGGCGGAGTTGGAGATGCTGCAGGAACAGAAGAAGAGCTACGAGGCCAAGATGGAGGAATACGAGGCCCTCCAGCTACAGAAGAAGGTGCAGGGCCTGTCTCTCTCCCTCTCTCCCTCCCCCCCTCCTTCCTCTCTCCCTCACTCCTTTCTCCCTCCCTCTCTCCCTCACTCCTTTTTCCCTCCCTCACTCCCTCCCTCCTTTCTCCCTCCCTCCTTCCTCTCTCCCTCCCTCCTTTCTCTCTCCCTCCCTCCTTGCTTCTCATACTCTTTTACTTGGGCAATAAAATATTTATACGTATATGTTTGAGACTATTTGGTTCATTACGTGGCACAGTTTGTTGCACTTTTCTTTCTCTCTCATTCTCTCGTGACTGTAGAACTACGAGGCCAAACTGAGCGAGCTGGAGTCAGCTCTGGTCAAGGAGATTCAGTCTGAGAGAACCGCTTCTGAAGAGATACTAGAGCTGCAGAGAAAGGTAACCCTTTATCTCTTGTCTTTTCCTTGTTCTCTCCTCTCTCTCTTTCTCCAACCTCAATGCCTCATTCTCTCTTCTCTCTTCTCGCATTCTCCAAGGCATTATACGAAGAAGAAAACATCGGCAACTTTATGTTGCAAATATTTTCGCCCCCCTTTTCTCCACTCAGGAGCTCATGACTAAACTAGAGCAGCTTGGAGTGGCGATGACACTGAGACAGAAAGAGGTTAAACCTTTTCCTAATCTCAGCTACTATGTACGTACCTACCTCACTGGCTTTTCATTGTATATTCATAGGAGGAAATGATGGTTGTTCGAGAGAAAGATAAAAGGTATATAAAATATTTGGAAAGTTTTTTGACGACAACTCGGCTAAATATTTCTCCGTTTGTTTCAGGATCTCTGAACTAGAGGACAATCTGAGGTCAAAGTCTGTTGCAGAGCAGGCCTTGGAGCAGCAGAAACAGGCATGTGACTGTCATGTGATCTGTCTGTGAGATCACATGACCCGGTGTGTGTATGGGTGTACAGGAGAAGAAGAAGCGAATGGATGAGTTGGAGAAATCTCTGGCTGCAGTTGAGGAGGAGCTGAGTCTCAAGAGAACGGAGGTGAGAACGAGAGAGAGAGGAGGAAGAGGGAGGAAGGAGGGGGAAAAGGAACAAAGAAAGAGGAGGAGATGGGAGAGAGGAGAGAAGAGAAAGAAGGGGAAAAGGGAGAGAGGAGAGAGGGGGAGAAGGGAGAGAGGAGAGAAGAGAAAGAAGGGGAAAAGGGAGAGAGGAGAGAGGGGGAGAAGGGAGAGAGGAGAGAAGAGAAAGAAGGGGAAAAGGGAGAGAGGAGAGAGGGGGAGAAGGGAGAGAGGGGAGAGTCATTGGCTCTTTTTCTTATCGCAGCACTCTACCTCAATGACGGAGCAGAAGAAACAATTTGAGGCTCTTATCGAGCAGCAGAGAAAGGTTGGTCAGTGATTATCACACCGACCTTGAGCTGGTATGTACTACACGTAATCTCACTTGTGAACCTCTCATTTGCAGGAATATGATTCCAACGTCCAAGAACTGGAATCCATTCGCTCTGAAAAGGACGTACGTTTCTTTTTTTGTAATTTTCAACTGCATTCTATCATTTCCCCCTCTCTCTGTAGAACTATGAGGCAAAGCTGGACAAATTCAGAGCACAGAAACAGGTATTATATACCATGTAAAAGAAAAACTTTCTTGAATTTGCAAATTGATATTTAAGCATGCTGTCCTTGCTCATCCATAAAATAAAAAAATTGTTTTAAGTCATTCCTGAACTTGTGAGATTTTTAGTTATCGTGTTTTTCTGTTTGTTTGTTCAAAATGCTACACTTCTTCAAATCTGCAGGAACTCCAGTCGAAGATTGAAGATATGGATGACCTGCACAGACAGAAGAAGGTGAGGCTAAGCCGTGTGAGCGAGTGTGTCCATTACATCATTCCAAATACCGATGACATCATCAGAACTATGAGAGGAAACTGGAGGAGCTGCAGAAGGCACTGGAGCAGCAGAGAGCCAAGAGAGTGGCTGCAGAGACCATGGACCAAGTCATGCGTGAGTCGACACAGAACTCTGAATCACGTATTTGGGGCTGAAATAATAGAACAACAATGCAATACTGTTCTCTCTCCCCACAACCTTGTAATGCAATTTGCTTCGTTGTGTACAGGGATAAAGCATTGTCCGTAGCGTTCAATATTTCGCGGCTTGTCTCACACAACAGATGTATAATATACGAAATTTCGTCTCTGACCACTCTCACTGAATCTGGGTCGACCTGTTCACTGATCGGGACTGACCGATCTTATCTTGATTTTTGCATTTTAATGCAGTGCTGAGGAGTGTAATTGTTAGTCTTTAGTCTTTGAGTGATCTTTACTCAACAATGTATATTATGTACATACATATTTCTGCAGTAATATTCCTAGCTACTAGCTACTGTCTTGTTAACCCTCGGCGCGCATGCGCAGCGAGGGTTACAGTAGTCGTTCTGTCTGTCCGTCTGTCTGTCCGTCCGCGCGAGTTCTAGCACTACAGGCTACGAGGCGGCCAATGAGTGGCACCAACGGGTTGTGAACGACGAGAAGATTGATATTAATGTGGCGATTTTCCCGAAACGACTGCGTTCCAGAGATATGGCGTGAAAACAAGCGAAAAAGCCAACGCGCGGTCGATCGCGCACGCGCCCTCTCCTGCAGGCTATATAGTGCGCACGCGTAATGTCAATTAATCGCCGGAGCATGTGCTTGGTTGTATATACGATCCACGGCCTCCTGTCAGTTTTGATCTCTGTTCCCTATGGATAAACGATAAACATGCTGAGCAAGCAATAGTTCAGGTGGCGAGCAGTTTTTGGTTGCGGCCTTGCCTTCCCATCTATAAAATGTCTGGCGAGAGCATTGAAACACAGAAGAGCAGATAGATTGAATAAAGCAAATATGAGAGCCTCTGAAACACCTGAGCTATTGCTCTAACCGCTAATGCAACTACCCTGTGTTACGGTGAGACTGGCTCCGTCGATGACACACGGCCCAGCATACAGCGATGCTACAACTCGCTAGTTTACCGCCGAGGGTTTGCACTTTAGTGCTTTTCATTGATTCTGCAGCAATGCTGAATCCAGAGCAGCTGGAGATAGCCAAGAAGGTGTACAGGGTCTGGGGCCGCTACCGCTTTCACTCTCTCAAGGTTACCTGTAGTACCCAACTGTTTGCTCTGATTTCCATTTCTCCTCTCTCTCTCTCTCTCTCTCTTTGTCACTGTTTTCTCTTCTAACCAGCTTGTGTTGGTGTTTTGACGAGTTCACAGTTAGCTTTCATGCCACCTCTTCTCCCTTTCTCTGTTCTTTGTTCCTTCTTTCCCCATCTCTCTCTCTCTCTCTCTCTCTCTCTCTCTCTCTCTCTCTCTCTCTCTCTCTCTCTCTCTCTCTCTCTCTCTCTCTCTCAGGATGAGCTACTCTCGAATGTGTCAATCCTCAAAGAGGCCAACGCCATAAGTGTGGAGCTCCAGAAGCACGTCTCATTCCAGTTCCTCATTCTCACCGACACCCCCTATTCCCCCATTCCGTTCTCTGTTGCCACGGGAACAGACGTCGATATCGATCTGGAAGAGAGTAAGTTTGCTGTGGCTCAGATGGAGAGCATGGACCCCTTCAGACCCAAGGGTCCTCTGGTGGCTGTGGAGGTGAAAGACAGTAAACATGGGGCCACGCACTTGTGGTCCATCAGCAAACTAAGGTCAGTGTGTGAATCATGAGAAACTTTATAATGCAACGCATTTTTGGCGAGCGAACGCAAGTAGTTTAATTCTCGCACACATATTTAGAAACATTACTGTATGTGCAGTGCCAGTCACATGACAATAAGAAACGAATCCCGCATTCAAATGACTAGGTAGTCTCGCTTTGCTCACCAGTATGCATACGTCTAGCTCCATAATACGTAATCAGTCATGTTTACGGGAATTAGATTTACTAGGAGAATTACTAGGAAATTTGGTTTGTTCTACTGTTATGTTTTACTGAGGACGCTTTGCTGTTAAACCTCAAACTTTAATGCCCCCCCGCCCCAAATTTTAACTGCTGTTGAAGATGGTAATGTACCTGTTGATTGTCATCTCTGTAGACAGAGGATGATGGTGATGAGGGAGATGTACGAGTCCGCCTGTCACCCGGAGCCCTCTCCCCCCACCTCCTCCCTCGCCATGATTGGTGGGGACCCCTTCTATGATCGCAATCCATGGTTCAGACTCATAGGCAGGTACGTATGTACACATACACCGTGTACTACTGAAGATGTTTTTCTTGGGCACAAATCTCCCTGAACGTTTTACCCCCTGGCTGTGGGGGGTCAACTTGTGCCACCCACAATCCTATTATAAATCACTCCTTCCTCCTCTGAATTAGAAGAACTAGTAATTATACAAATCCGTAGTTCCCTCGAATGGAGTAACTAACTTATATGTAGCTCTTTTAGGGCCCAAGTGGCCCTCTATGTTCTACTAACACGCAACGCAAACATAACGCTATTAAAGAAAAACGGTGGTGTTACTATTCGAATCTATGACCTTAAGGGGAACCAGTACATCTGGTCACACTGTACATTTAGAGGAGGGTGTTCGAACACCCGTATCATCCCCCTGGATACGCTACTGCGTGCTCCTGGAATGTTCCTTTTTCGCATTAC